CGATGTAATGCTGGCTGGAGTCCACGGCTCGCCTCGCCCGAAGTTCCTCACCCAGACTGGCTCCCCGGGCTGCCACCCATCGAGGGGGGGACGGTCAACTGGTGAGGGCGGAATGGACACTGCGTTGTCCAGCCTGGAGCGAAGATCGTAGCCCATTAGGAGTTGCGCTCGTGTCCGGCCTGCGGCGTCCTGCGGTACCTGTGCAAAATCCTAGCCAGGCGGGTTTTCAGTGACCCTTGTACATTCTTCTTCAATGAATACTTCACCGTACGAACCGCCCGCTCCGCGAGCCCATTGGACTGGGGGTGATACGGTGCTGTTCGGAGGTGTACTATGTTATTCAGCTTCGTGAAGGTGTTAAATTCCCAACTCGTAAACTGTGGGCCATTATCGGATACCAGCGTCCGGGGCAACCCGAATGTACTGAACAAGGTGCGCAGAGCCTCTATGGTGGCGTGTGTGGTGGAACTCTTCATGGGTATCGCTTCTATCCACTTACTATGTGAATCCACCACAATCAGTAGCATGTGACCATCGATCGGCCCCGCAAAATCGATATGCAGCCTCGACCAACGCTCATCCGTTTCTGGCCACGCAACAGGGGGTTTCTTTGGGGGCATAGGGGCAGCTTGGATGCAACTGGTGCAGGACTTAACCATGTGCTCAATGTCATTATCGATCCGGGGGTACCACATCAAGGAGCGCCCTAGCCGCTTCATTGAGCAAATCCCTTGATGAGTATCATGCAGCAGACGTAACATCACTGCTCGGGCACTCTTAGGGACGATCACTCGATGGCCCCAGTATAGAAGCCCATAACTCCCCGTTATCTCAGCTTTCCGGTTGAAGTATGGCATCAAGTGCTGGTCCTTAGGCCCCAAATTTCTTGGCCATCCCTCCTGCACCCATTTTTGCACCTTTGCTAAATCGTCATCAAGCTCCGTGAGAGTGCCCAGTTGCTTCGCAGACATGACACCATCATTGAGGGTCTCCGTGAGCAGGACATACTCACCGTCCACAGTTTCTTCCTGCGTCTCTGGCTGGGAAGTTGCTGACGTGGGGAGTCGGCTGAGGGCATCGGCTGGAATGTTGTCTTTCCCGGGCTGGTGTTTGATGACGTAATCGTAGGCGCTCAGCAGCAGGGCCCACCGCTGGATTCGCGCAGCGACCATCACGGGCACTGGCCTGTCTGGGTGAAAAAGTGCAACAAGCGGCTTATGGTCCGTCATCAATGTGAAAGTATTGCCGAGCAAGTATTGTCGGAATTTCAACGCACCAAACACAAGTGCCAAGGCTTCACGCTCCAGCTGCGAGTAATTTTTCTCAGCTCCAGTCAATAACCGAGAGCGGAACCCTATGGGCCGAAGTACTCCGCCCCCGACATCGTGTGAAAGCACTGCGCCTATTCCGTCCGGGGAGGCATCGCATTCCAGGACTAGCGGCTTGTGTGGGTCAAAATGTGCCAGAAAGTCTGCGGATTTCAGAAGGTCTTTCACACTGCTGAATGACTGCTGTTGAGCGGTATCCCACTTCCACTTAGCTTCCTTCCGGAGTAGTTGATATAGGGGTGCCATGGCGGTCGATGCATTGGGAAGAAACTTGTGGTAGTACGTTACCATGCCGAGGTAGGACCTTAATTCTGCGGAATTCCGTGGTGCCTGAACCTTAAGGATGGCGTCTATGTTTTCCGTCTTTGGTTGAAGACCTCGAGCGCTGATTCGATGCCCCAAAAAATTCACCTCTGGTTGGCGGAACTTGCACTTGTCTGCGTTCAGGCGCACGCCGTATTCCCGGAAACGCTTGAATACTTCGTGCAGGGTGGTGCAGTCATTGCGTTTCTCGGCCACGATGACGTCGTCTAGGTAGACCTGAACACCCGGAAGTCCCTGCAAAATGGTCTCCATACGCCGTTGGAACACGGCCGGCGCGGACGCCACTCCAAAAGGCAGGCGAGTAAAGCTGAACAGTCCCTTATGCGTGTTTATGGTCGTGAGTTGCATGGCTTCCTCATCCAACGGAAGCTGGTTGTATGCCTCCCGCAAGTCTATCGTGGTAAAAACTTCACCGCCATTTAATGTAGCCAGGATATCCTCCACCCGTGGCAACGGATATTGCTCAGTGCGACAGGCTTTGTTGACCGTTAGCTTAAAATCGCCGCAAAGGCGGATGCAGCCATTCCGTTTCACTATCGGTACCACTGGCGCCGCCCACTCCGCATGAGGCACCGGTACAATAATACCCGCGCCCGAAAGGCGGTCCAGTTCCGCGTCGACCTTTGGCCGAAAAGCATACGGAACTTCGCGTGCTTTCCAAAACTTCGGCACCACGTTTTCTCGCGTCTCGAAGTGTACCGGTGGCCCTTTTATGAGCCCTAAACCTGGCGCGAACACATCAGCGAATTCTGCTAGCAACCGGTCCACGTTAACGTCGTCAGCACCGAGTAACGGCAGTTGCTCACCTGACGTGTTCACGTTAATTACCGGTGCCTCGAGCATGTGGAACGCTTGAATCAGGTCGCGTCCGCAGAGGTTTGGGCCGGAGCAACCAAGGACTTGCAAAGATCCAGCCGTCGACTTGTTTCCGCACGAAACCTTGAGCTGAAGTTGTCCCCGCACTGGAAGCCGTCCCAGGAAGCAGGTGAGTTTCAATGGCGAACCACGCAGCTTCGGCCACACTGTTTTGTTCCGCTCATATGTGGGCCACGTGATGACCGAAACCGGCGAGCCTGTGTCGACCTGCATGTTCACTGGAACCCCACCACAATCCAAGGTGCGCACGATGGGTTGCGTAATGCCGACGTGGCCGATGTGACTGTCCGCTGCCTCCAGCGCGAACATACCGCCCGTGCCAGTGTCTTCCTCCCGCGACAAGGCGTGTACTTGGCGTTCTGGTGATACCACCCCGAACCCACTCTCACGGCGGCAACAGGCTCGAGCGATATGACCTCGTTGTTTACACTTGAAGCATGACGCCGAGCGGAAGCGGCAATCCTCGGGTCCGTGCCCTTTTGCTCCGCAGCGGTAGCACCCAACAATCTGTGGCCGGCTTCGTGGGCGATAGGACTGGCCTCCCAGCGCATGCACACTTGCCTCAGCGGTGGGGCTTACTATCTCTTGCGCGTTGGCCTCGGCCATTTCGGTAGATATCGCAATTTCTTCCGCTTCGCTCCTCGTCAGCTGTGGTTTCGCGAGTAGCTGCCGACGCACTCCGACGTTGTGCAGACCACACACGATGCGATCTCGTAGCATTCTGTCCAACGAAGCACCAAAATTGCAGGTGTCCGCTATCTGTCGAATCGCCACGACAAAATCCTTGACCGGTTCGCCGGGCAGCTGATTGCGGGTGAAGAACTTATAAGACTGTGCTATCTCGTTCGGTTGCGGCGAGAAGTGCTGCTTAAGCAAGGCTATCACTTGTGGGTACGAAAGTTCATTCACCTTATCCGGAGCACAACGTCCGCTCAGTACGTCGACGGTGTGGGTGGACAGTGCAGTCACCAGCAGGGCCCGCTTCTTGTTGTCTTCCGTGATGCCATTTCCCTCAAAGAAGGCTTCCAGCCGAACCTGGTACGCGGGCCACTTGTCGCTCGCCTCGTCGAACTGCGGCGGGCTGGCGTATCCTCCCGTGGGTGCGGCGGTCATGACGGACGGAGTTGCCGCACCGCTTTTATCCCATCCTCGTCGCCACTGAAACGAACACGCCAGGGCAATGGCTGGGCCAAGACGAAAGCTTTATTGCGATAGCGCGGGTTAATGTAGCGTTGTGCGAGAGGGGTTAAGGGGAAGGGAAGGAGAAGAAGCAGGGGTGATAACGGCGGCTTCGGCTGGCGTGACGTCACGGATACATCAGGACACGCAAGGCTAAATGGTGCGTATTTCTACATACTGTACGCACCGTGTGCTAGTCTGGTGGGAAGAGAATGTGGCAAACAGTGCGTAGTCGTGTACAGATTGACACTAAAGGTTATCTTAGTTTCTTTTAGAGCGTGCTGTTTCAGTGTGTAACAGTAGCTGCGAATATTTCCTTACCTAGGACCACTTCACTGCGGACCAATTCGAGCCGATACTGCTGCGCAAGTTTGGTACTAAAAAGTTGAAGAGAGACGCGGCGCCTACGATCTTCAGTCAAGAGCATTTGCAAACGTCAGGTAAGCCAATCGCGTTAAAAAACTGGAGAATGTTTAGTCCGTCTTCATTGTTTTCTGCATCACCCATAATTACTTCTCAGCCTTTCACTAACCAGAAACATGTCGTCTTGCATATAGGTGTTGTGCACTGTTTGTGTATAGCTAATGGCTTTTTTTGGTATAATTAATGCATTTTTTTTTTCATTCTCCAAAATGCAATGATTCAGCCCGCTCATCTTGTGGCCTTAATCTACTACTAACAGCAGCTGCTTTTGTTGATGGTGAGTTGACGGTTAATCACATCTCACGCCTTTTCCCTCTTCGTTATCATTAATACATGTTTGGATTATGCAGAAGCCAAAGAGACACACTGCCCATCAGATACGAATGTGCTTCTAACACCAGCTGCTGTTGATGGTGAGTTCTTACTGCATTTATTACTTACCGTAATTACAAACGTGCTTTATGCCTTCATTGATGTTTTATAATTTGCAGGCTATGGAGCCAACAGTGATGCCACTCAAGCAGGGTTAGGTTCTTCGCAAGGTAACGTAGCTAACACACATGCTGCATGTAGTCGAAGCATTGTAACGGCTTGTAACTTGTATCCATTGATTTATATATTTTACAATCATGTCTGTAGGGGTGTGCTGCAGATACACTACATTTTGCTCCGCAGTATGGTGTTCAGCACATTGCAAGCATTGAAAGCATAGTCGCTTGGGTTTTGGCACGCATTCTTATTACTGAAAATTTGTAATGCACCTGTGCGTATTGTAAATGCTTCAAGTAGTGTTGATGCTTGTTTGCCAAAATGCGATGTAACAGAGATGATGGTCTTCTTCAATTTGTCTTTATCTTTTTGTAGGTCACACTGCCACTGATTCAGCACCATCGGATTTTCCAGAAGGTAATGGCAGTGACATGTTGCTTTGAAATTTCACATAATTTATTGCTGATCTCATGTTGCTGATGCACATTCAAGTTCCGAATGTGACGCACTGCCAGCTTGTTCAACAGCTTGTTCAGCAGGTGAGTGCTACTTTTCATGATTTGTATAGGCATGTGTCTGCCAGATGGTTTTGTTGGTTCCAACTATCATATGTGCGCAGGTGTGGAAACCACCCATGAATCGAGCTGCCAGCCATTTCAAGCTTTGACGGTGCCTGTTGAGTGTGAGTGAAATTTCTGTTCAGTATCATATACATTTTTTAATTTTAGTCACTGGCCATCCCTCAATGCCTGTGCTGCAACTGTGCTAATTTAAAGCTTTGGTGACTGTACCGGTCTTCAGTACTACTAATAAGATTATCCGTCATTTACAGCTCAGCAGAACTTTTGTGCTGCCTGTGGAGGATTTCTGTCTGCTGAGGGCACAGCTGATGTCACCGGTAAGTGTTCAGTGCTACTGTTCTCACACACTATGCAATATACACTTGAGTGCCCCGCCGCCGTGGTCTAGTGGCTAAGGTACTCGGCTGCTGACCCGCAGGTCGCGGGTTCGATTCCCGGCTGCGGCGGCTGCATTTCCGATGGAGGCGGAAATGTTGTAGGCCCGTGTGTTCATATTTGGGCGCACGTTAAAGAACCCCAGGTGGTCGAAATTTCCGGAGCCCTCCACTACGGCGTCTCTCATAATCATATGGTGGTTTTGGGACGTTAAACCCCACAAATCAATCAATATACACTTGAGTGTGACACATCGCCGCCTACAGGAACTTACGTGCACGCTCATAACAGATTGATATATTGGTGCATTTAATAGTGCGGATGCGTTCCAAGTACTGGTGCCCTGTTTTGTTTCTCTTGCTGGTATGCTCATTCTTGTAAAGCGAGAGTAGTCGCACACAACGTAAGTTTACTGGAGGAACATGTAAGCTGTGTTTTGTGTACAGTAATGCATAGCGCACTGCTACACACTGTGCAACATCATCACACTATCATTTGTGACACGCAATCAGCTGCCGTCTTGTAGGAACTCTGTCAAAAAAAGTTACAACAGTGGAACCATGGCACTCTCCCCACTTTGTTTGAAATAGCCACCGCCATTGATAACCCTACGTCATAACCGAGAGTACGTGCCATATATTCATGTTTTTACTCATTACTAACTATTGGCATAGCTAGGAGGTGGTACACCGGACACTTGCTGCTCCCAAAATGTCTTTCTGCCTTCACACGCAGAGTACTAAGTGAGACGTGACCACACTTAACTTTCCTGCCCCTATTTCGGATCAAGGACATGCCCCCACCAAAAAAATAGTTCAGCTGCATGCATTGCGGGTTTTGTGCAGCTCCATTTGTCCCTCTTCATTGAGCAACAGTGTCAGCTTATGCTGTTTGTTAAAACCACTGTTGTGTTCTCAAAAAGTTACGCTTACACTTTTCTGCTAAATAATATGGAGTGGCACTGATTTTTTTTGTTTCTTTAAATCCTTATGGTTCTCGCTCACATGCTAGTCTGGGTTAAATAGTGAAATTTTCAAACTCTTGTCACTTCCTGCTCAATCTGTGCTTTGCAGACTCCAGTTCAAGTAGTTGGGATGCTGATCAAGCAGTAGTAGCTGCCCTTCACAAAAGAATAGCTACATTGGAAGAGTGCTTGAACAACATGAAGCGGAAAGTTGCTACACTGCAACAACAGAAAAGCAAAGCAAACCGTAGAAACCATGAACTCATGCGAAACATCAAGAAGTACCTGTCACCAGATCAACTGCAAGGCATCTGGACTTCCAGTATGCGAGGGAAGCAATGGTCTACAGAGACTATACAGAAAGGCCTCAAGCTCCGTTTGGCATGTGGATCCAGAGGCTACAATGCGGTCAGGGAGCTTGCTGTACCCCTTCCGAGTGAAAGAACTTTACAACGTCGCGTTGAAAACTACAAGTTCTCACCAGGAATTCTACATGAGGTTCTGAAGTCCTTTGCTTTGAAGGTGAAAGGATGGTGTAGCTGAATATATTTGTTACATTTATTCTCGTGAGCATCTCTTTCAGCAGTACAGCTTGAGCAAAAGGTGAAACCTTTTCCAGAGCCTTCCACTATGGCATGTCTCATGATCGTATCATGGTTTTCGCACGTAAACCCTAATATTTATTAGGCTTTCATGTGTTGCTAGTGCCAGTGTTAGTGCCTGTCACTGCGCTCTTTGTCGTGCACGTTTTAGCGGCCATTCATAAAGTTTCCACAACATATTCTCACCTTTCCTTCACTTATGACTTCAGGTCCTCTAACTAGGCACAATTCCACATAAATTTGAATAGGTGATAATCTTCTTGCATGCAAACATCGAAATACAGCTTGCACTGTACGCTGCCTGTTTATTCTTGAAAAGCGTTGTATTTTAAATGTCCTTATTGATGCCTTTGTTGCCTAATGCATGTTGCATATTTCAGATAACCACCATGAGGGAGCATGAAAGGCATGCAGTTCTGATGCTCGATGAAATTCAGTTGAGCTCAGGGCTTGCGTTTGACCAAACGACTGGCACTGTTATTGGAAGGCCAACTTTACCTTTGGCTGACTGTTTTCTGCCACATGCTGCAGTGGCAACGCATGGACTTGTTTTCATGCTGGGTGGGGTTACACAAAGATGGAAGCAGACAGTTGCTTATCATCTTACTGGAAACTCGTTCAGCAGTGCTGCAGCTCAAGAACAGTTGATTGAAATTATTCAGGAATGTGAAACAATCGGGGTTCGTATGGCTGCAGTCGTTAGCGACATGGGTGGTGGGAATATGGGGCTCTGGAGAGAATTTGGCATAGTTGTGGGAAAGCATTCTGTGTCAAGAGTTTCTTGTTGTCATCCTGTTGACCGAAATCGCAAGCTTTATTTTATGGCAGACACCGCACATTTGCTAAAGAACTTGAGGAACCATTTCACACGTGGTCAATTCATTTCCCTTCCCGAAAATGTGGTCGAAAAGCACAAGCTGCCTTCGAATGAGGTTAACCTTGTGCCGATTAAGAAGCTGGTAGAAATAGACTCTAAACTGCAATTAAACATAGCACGGCACTTGAAACCATCCTTCTTGAACCCAGGACACTATGAGAAAATGAAAGTAGGGCCTGCATTTTCATTGCTAAATCACGATGCTGCAGCTGCACTACGTTCCTGGTCCAAAGGGGAGATTTGCCCCAAGAAGCGTTGACAACAGCATGGTTCATAGAAACCATTTATAGGTGGTTCAAAGTACTGACATCACGTACAACGAAGCTTGGCATCAGCAAGTTAAATGATCAGAAATATGAGGACTCACTGATTTTTTTAATGGATATGGTAACTCTTTTTACAGATCTGAAGATAGGCTCTCCATCGAAACACGTGTGGAAGCCTATGCAGACGGGCATAATTTTGGTGTGTAAAGTTGCATTGGAACTGCAGCATTATTATCTTGATGAGAAGGGCTTCTTTTTTGTTTTGCTCAGCCGATTTGCCCAAGATGCTCTTGAGAATTTGTTCTCCACTCTGAGGGCGAAGAATGCAGTACCAAAAGCTCTTCAATTTCGTAGTGCTATTCGAGCTGCTACTTTGGCACAGTTCTTTCGGCCCAGTAGAAGTGGAAGCAATGCTATCGACGATGCTCCTTCCCTAGTTGGCATCAAAAATTGCCACGCAAGAGCTGCTAACAGCAATGATACAGAAGCTGTTGAATATCCCAGCGCTTGTCGACATAAGCATGATGGAGCATGAGTCTTTTATTTACCTTGCTGAATTTGTGGTAGAGTGTTGCAAAGCACACAGGAATTTGTGAGCAGTGCAAAACTGCCACAGTGTCGAACGAAGCTAGTGTGCTCACAAAGTTAAAATCCTACACTGATGACAGCAAGCTCGTATCACCAGGGCCAGCAGTACTTCATTTGCTCGAAACAGCTGAGAATATGTTTAGAGTGAATAGCAACAATTCTCTGTGCAATAAAGTTACGATTGGTCAACTTGCGGCCATCACTAATGACAGTGTGCAAGCTGTCAATTGTTTTCCACCTTGCCACAACATTCAGGAGAGGTTGCTGAGAGCATTTTTTAAAACCAGAATTAACATTCTTCTGCGGAAAGAGAATATGCGTTTGCTGCAGAAAGAGAATATGCGTTTGGCAGCTGATGAAGCTAAAGATGCAAAAACTGGTAGTCGTAGCATTGGAAAGCAGGCTGCTACAACCAATGTAAAATAGTGTGTATGCCTCATTTCTTTCGTGTTTTCCTTCCGTTTTTCTATGATGCATATGTGGTATGGCCTCTTAACGTAGTTTGTAGGTACAGTACTCACGGATTGGAATGCAGGAATTATGGTCTCAGTAACGCACATACTTTTGTTGACACTGCGTTAAGTTCGGGTCATATTTGCGTAATTTCGACTAGAACGTGTATATCAGAGCCAAAATTATTCTTGGAGACTATATCACGACATGACGTGGTTATTTCGAGCAGGTGTGCATACCAGTTATCCCCGAAAAATTGATGTTGCGTTTGAATCCCCAAGTACCGTACATGAGGAACTGCAGTGTTTTGTCCTATTGTGATTTCATTTCAACAGTAATTACTTATCTTTGATCCGTACAGTTCAGAGCAGATGTTTTCACTTGCCGTCATAATGTCATTGAAATTTCTAACACGTTTGCCCTGTTTGTTTCAGTGTGTACGTTTTGGTCCTTTATAAGCACTTCCCTTTAAGTAGCTTGGGTGGTGTCTCGATCTCATTTACGTTGTAATTTTGTGTGACTAGAGTTATTGATGAGAAGCTTTGTTAACTTAGCTAAGCCTATTTTTAATATTCTGTGTCAAGTGTCCCTGTTTTTCATTATGTTTCTCAACACTCGGGAAATTTCGCTTACTTTCTGCCTTGGTGGTTTACCGCCTTAAATTTCTGCTTCAGATGTCAGTGTAGTAATGGTTTTGTTCATTGCCTCTGTGTCTGTTTTCTCGTTTTTCCTCTATTTGCTTTGCATTTCTTGCCAAATGCAATTCTAAGCTCGTGTGTTTTTATTTTGACTTCTTCTAGGTTGGCCTGTGGCTGATTTTCCTCTTGTTGTCTTGAGGCTGAAGCTATTGTTGCCCTATGATTTTACAGCTTTGCACTTGTTGTTGAGGGCAATTATAAGCTCGTGTGTTTTTATTCCAACTACATCTGGGTTGGCCTCTATTTTAGTGGCTAATTTCGCTCTTCTTCTCTTCAGATAGAGCTGTTGTTACCCTCACTAGTCTATGATTAGGTTCGTGGTTTTGCTGTGCCTATTACATCTGTTTTATTAATGTCTTTTATGTGTATGTCCTGTTTCATGCCTACATATCTGCATAATATGTTTTGCATATCCCCAGTAGGGGCTTTCCATGTCTACTTCCTATTCCTGTGCTTTCAAAAGTTCAATATGTGTACTTCATTTCATTAGCTAAATTCCACATGCGGAGTGTTAATCTTGATAAA